TAGCAAGGAAAGAGCTTGTCCTCTTCAAGGCTTTCTTTCATGCAATTCGCTACGCTCCTTGTCATCGTGTATATCTTGCTAGTTCAAATTGGAAGCTTGCGGACTGATAAAAAAAAATGTACTAATGCTAATGGAAGCTTCTTTCTTGCTTCTGCAACTCTCGAACTAGAGGAAGGAAAGCGCTATACCCACCCACGGAAGAAGGGAGAACGCAAATCTTGTACTGATTAAGCGAGAAGACCGATGGTAGGGAGCCTGTTGGAGGCCTTTCCTGGTATCCTTCCAGAAAACTTGCTCCTGGGGACATAGGACTAGTTGCTTATTCTTTTATCATCGAGATTGGATTGGTCTTCTCGCTACGACGCCCCCTTCCATCAGTCCATTCATTAATGACTTAACCTTATCCCATTCCTGCCTTCCTTAGTGCCTTTGAATTCCATTGATTTAGGAGCTATTGACATATTAGAATGGCATCGGAATCTTTCTTAGAAGGTTTAGAATCCTATTAGTGCAAAGAGGCGGAGTTTAGCGCTTAAACTTACGATTTCTTTTCTATATTTCATTTTTCTATTTAACTGGTGATCAAGTATCGACAAAAGATCTTATTAGCTTAGCTTAGGGGCGTAGCGATAACTCGAGACCTTCCTCTACTTAGGCTTACCAGTATTGACTAATTACAGAATCTATATATTCCCAGAAGCCCGGCAAGACGCGATAAAGACCTGAAAGGCCTCCTTCAGCCTGGTATCATATTCATATCTATCTACTCTCAGAAATCCAAGCTGGAGTGAGAGAAGTGATGGCATTATTACAGGCTACCTAGAACGGCCAAAGCTGGGACCCATTGTACTGGTTACTGCTATTGCTAGTGCGTTTGCTGTACTGACTTAGTGTAACTGGTGTTAGTGGACTGACAGAGCGAGCTGGAAAGGGGCTTTTTCCGTCTTTTCGGGGAAAAAGCAAGCGTCTGATCAAATCCATCTGCGAGAGCTAGCTTCGGTCTCACGTAGGCAAGGACGGAGCTGTCGAGTGAGGATTGGCCGAGGGGAGTCCATGATGTAGCTGGGTACAAATAAGCCAGTAAAAAAAAGACACGTAGAAGCCAGTTAAAGAGGAGTAGACAGAGGACGACGAAGCCAGTGGGGGAGGGAAAGGAGGACGGATCACATGGTTTTGTCAGGGGCTGGAGATTGACGATTGACTGAGCGTGCTTTGGCAGCTCGTGGTGGAGTACTCTCTGACAGATTCGCTCTATTATTGCCTCCTATTCTTGAGGGAGTGATCAGGATTAAGACGCGTGGCGATACCGACTCTTTTTTTCCCGGGGGGTGGGCCTTTCGTACTCCAATCCGTACGGGTCTTCAGCGCACTAAAATATAGTGGAGGGGGTTCCATATTCATGAAAAGCCGGGGTTGAACCGGAACTAAGACAAGAATTCTTACTAATAATAAGAAAGGTTTAAGGGCCTCCAACGCCTATAAATAGAAGCTTCTTTCAGTCTCTATTTGGCAAAGGGCACTTAGAAGTCGGCAAGAAAGTGAGTAGACATGGATATCGCGAACAGACTGGAGAGCATTGAGCAAGAAATCCGTCAGGTAGAAAACGAGAAGCTCCAATGCGAGCAAAGGCTGGGTCTGTTCTGGGAACATTTCCCTGCTATAGATCCCATTATCATACAATCTCATATGCTTTCTCTAAAAAACCAAATACGCTCTCTCGAAAACAGGAAGAGGGCGCTCCTAAAAGAACAGCAAGAGCTCATTGTGCGGGCTGTCGTCACCCACCGGGGGAACTAGAAGACTCCGTCGACTCTTTCTAGAATATTCCAATAAATAAGTAGTCCGTCGACGCAAAGTAGTGTGTTTTAATGCATGGCTTTCTTTGTTATGTTTCATGTTGTTCTATGTCTTTTGTTCACTTAATATGTTGTTAGTTAACTTTGTAATGTTGTGTTTAGTTGTGTGGCTAGTCTATGTGTGTGTAAGCTTCCTATTGGATGGACTCCCATGTATAAAAACTTGCTTGTAGTGCTGGAATGAAAAAAATCTGCTCTGTTCTGAAGGACACCTTTTCATTCTGATTCTATAAGGAATTCGAAAGAGTCGGTCTCATTGATTGAGCATCTCCGAGATAGATAAGTTTCCGTTTACTATGTTTACAATAAAAGGTGCTTTCATATTTGAAAACTAATGCCACATCTTCCTCAAACAAGAGGGTACTGATTAACGCCCTCCAGGAGCTCCTACTCCTATTCCCTAAAGCGACTTCTTGCTATTCTTATTTCCTACAGATACTTACTCTTCGATTGCAACGCCGATTTCTGTTACGCTTTCTTTTCTTATGTCTGTTGCCTACCTTCGGGTATCCCAGCTAACACGAGGAAAGTAGGTCTTTTTGGTATCAATCATTCTCTATCTGTCTTTCCTTCTGCCTTTGCTACCGACAGGGTCTTCCCTTCGATTCTAAAGAATTTATTAAGTTAGTTAGATAGTCGACTCTTTGTTTTTCATCTTAGCCTGTCAATCCAATTCTATCCCTGCGAGCAGGAAGAAAGACGGCAGAGAAAGTTTCTTTATTATAATAAGATATTGATTCAATCAAGAAAGCCTTGCCTTCCTGAGGGCTTTCTATGCCTATGAATGAGAGAGGGCCTTCTTTCCTTATGTTATTATGGTTTGCCCGCCCAGAGAGAGGAGAAGCGCTTGAGGATGGATAGTCTTTCCTTTCTCTCTCTTGCTTCTAAAATGCACGAGCTACTTGAAATCAAGTAACAGCTTGAAACTCTCCTGACTCTTTAAGTGGAATAGAGGAATCAAAGCTGTCAGTCAGTTATTCCTACCCTCTTCTATTCAGGGTTACTCTGATTTCTTCCGTCACGGTAAAAAGGTTCTAGGACTTCTACTTCCTAGAAAGAATAGAATATATAACTTTTATGTGCCCTCTCTTTTCACTAGTAGAGGTAGGAGATAAGGGTAAGGTTTGAGTGTGCAGGCTAGTGCCTATTGAAACTTCTTAATAGCTAGTGGAGCGAGGCGAATGATAGAGTGACGGAGGTCAGAGACTACAAGAATGCTATATAAAGCACTAGGGAGCCTATTTCCTATGCCGCTGCCATATCCCCGCGGGTCTTCATTATGCCAATAGCTGCTTCGGAGAGTATAGGCTATTCCATAGAAGAGACCGGTACCTTTTCCTCATACGAAACGAGAGCTCGTTCAGTAACTGAAAACCGAAAGCGTCACTTCTTCCGTCCCAGCACCTGAAGCTGTGAAAGCTGTAGGTACTCTAAGTCAGCGGTCAACCTTAGATCAAAAGAAGAGTAAACCATGAGTGGAATAAGGACCTCCCATCATATCATAAGAGAAGCATGAGTGAAACGATCAACTGTCGTTGCCTGAGGGAAAAAGGTCATCACACAATTAACCGACCCCGCCCGGAGCCCATGGTCGGTAGTCAAGATCTACTATGAAAATAGTTGTTGAGGGTGGAATCAGGCACGCAGCAAACTATGGAGTCAA